CAGCATTAGGAGAATTCTCCCTGCAGAACAGGCTCTTCTTCCAAGCAGGCAGCTTTTCTATTGCCCATTCCTAGCAGTAGACTTTTGGAAGACAAGCAATTCTTTCTATTTAAAAGAACTTGGGAAAAAGAACCATCATTTCCCAGCAGATTTTTTATTTTATTTTTTTTTTCCTGACAGATATTTTTATGCCTGGCTAAGGAGAGACAAAAAGGTCAGAGCAAATTAAAATCACATGCTCAGAACATTTCAGGGCAGGTGTTTTTCTTGAGACAGAATTCATTTTTTGAAGGGAGTATCCCTGGACTTATGCTCCTCCTAACATTTCACCTGTTGCATTAGCACTRGAGGACAAATGATTTCATAACCCCAGGCGGCCTGGTTTATTTGGACCCCGCTCAACAACTTTGCCTCAACTGCATTGCAATTTTTACAGCTAGACCAAAGCTCAAGACAAGAACTCCAGTCTGGCTACTCATCACTGCATTTCACTTGGCATGTAGGCTATGGATGAGGAATGYGCAGAATTTCCTTTTCCACCCTCCCAGATCCTCTGCCTTCAGCCTGACCCAACCCCAAAAGCAGAACAGATGCAGCTGGAGAAGGACAGGTTCAAACTTGCTGCTAAGCTGGGAGACTGACACTTAAGCTCCTCTGCAGCATAAGCAGCCAGCAGCTGGAGGTGGATGCCACTAAGTGGAAGAACATCAGCTGCTGCCTGTTGAAATGAGTCATTTATAAAGGAAGAGGAAGAGTGGGCTTTCTTTGTGAGTGAAGAAGGGTTTGAGTYTGGTTAAAGGTGGTCTTGCATCTTGAAGCCTCTGTTGGTGTCTGASCAGGTAAGGGGACCCTGGATTCCCCACTACCTGCTAAGGTGGCTCCTAGGAGTCTAGTTCTGCTGTGAAAGCTGATTATAAATATTTGCAATGTCTTAGTATCAGCAGTTGKGAATCAATAGGGAGCTCTGAGCTATCAATGAGACCTAATTCCTTAGGTCATCCTAGGAGAGGAACTAGGGAGCAATCTTAGCCCTTTGGTGTGTGTCCTCCTTGCAGAGGCAGGGAGACTTTCCCACAGGTCTGTAGCTTGGCTTTTGTTGCAGTGGGAGTGGAAAATGTAGGTTCAAGTTCTGTGTTATCTCATCCCTAAAAGTTATTTATCTTGGCCCTGAATGGAACATTGTCTTCCCTCTTAAAACAGCTGTGTGGATGGAAAGATGGAACTGAATGAGCCCCTTTCCCTTGAGCTTAGGAATGTCTCAATGTGGGTAGAAAACTGCTCTTGCATCACAGACACAGGAGTGACAACAACGAGCCTTGCATTTAAGGATACAGAGTTTTGATTGCTGGTAACGGTGGCTGACTGGTGTACATGCASTGTACAGAGAACAAGCACTGCACTAATGACATCTGGTCTTGACTTAATATTAAGAGGGATTTTTGGTTATGAAAGTATGTATTTTCCAATGCCCCCAAGCACAAAACTGCCATATGTCTGGGGCAATCTATTGCACAGCCTGAGGACTTGACTGCAAGCAATAGCATCCTAGCACTTTGTTAGCATGGATGAAGGGGAAAATCTGATTGAAGTCRCCCTGTATCACCAGCAATAGTGTTTGTCCATATTATAAAGCTGCAGTGGTGTCTTGTAGCTCTCCTCCACATGCTGAGCAGGGCAGGAAGGCTGTTGTGGTGGTGGGGTGACCCACCGGCTGCTTGGCAGACTGTTGTGGGACTCTGGGCAGTTCACTTGGTCTGTGCTTGCCCCTTCTCATGTCCAGGCAGCAGGTGAGAGCAGGGCCCTGCCTCCCTGCTGTGCAGTGTGGAAAATTCCCTCCGAGTCTCTGAAGCGCGTTGCAGTGATGCAGGATGTACCAAATGGACAGCATTTGGAGTGTTGTCTTATAGGATAATCGGAGGAAGTCATTGTATTAAATATCCATTTGTGTCATTAGCCTTTTATTTGGTGCTTTGTCCAGACATCCTGTTTGCTTCCTCTCTGAAGTAATGAATATGTTTCCTGTGTGCAGGTTCCGATCCAAAGCTCCCCTGTAAAACCAAGGCACCTAAGAGAGGTCACTAGTGTAGCTGATGGACCGAGGCATCTCCAGACTTGTGTCATGCGAGGAGCTTCAGGGTAAAACTAAAGGAGCTGTCTTTAAAACTACTGTTTAGACCACCCAACCCATAGTTGTCTGCTCCCTATGGTACCGAGTGAGGTTTCTGAGTTCCAAAACTGGTGTGTTGGGACATGACAGCAATGTCAGCTCCCAGGCTGAGCTGTAATTCCATATACTGGGAAGTATCGGATGCAAAAAATAGTTGGGGCTTCTCCATCCACTCCAAACTTGGGAAGTGGCAAGCTGCTCCACAGCTCCCCTTCGGCCTAGTGATCCCCCCTGAGAAATCTCTTGCTGCTCTTTCTGCAGAAGATCAGTGATCAGCTACCTATTTGCAGTAATTCCCGTGTATCTGTCAGCTTTGTAACTTCCAGGGACTGAACCTGGGATCTCCACTGCAGCAAGTGCATCTCTGTTTCTAGATTTATATCCAGGTGAAGATACGGTGATTCTGCATATCAGCTCTGGAGGTGTAGCCATGACATCCGTTTATATCCACTTTGGATGTGGCTATAGTGAGGAATGCTATGTCAGCATGAGGAATCCTGCCCCAGGAAACAGCTGGAGAGGCTGCAGAATCCCTTAAAATGCCAATTCATCCATCCTGGATTACAGTAGGGAGCACAGGGAATGGGGGTCACTGATTTCTTGCCTCTGCCACTGACAACTGCTGCTTTTTTGCTGCAGCGTTGGGAAAGAGTTAATCGAGGAAGCACAGCCCCTCAGGACCAGGACTTGTTCCAAGCGAATTGGCTTGTTCTTGTTTCTTCTATTGATCGCAATCACTCAGAGCTGTGTCTGTAACAAACTGCCTTAAGTCACTGCAATCATAATAAGCACACCTTGGTAAATAATGCATGAGGTGTCCATAAGCCTATATTCCTTAGGAGGGAGGTGCATATAGGGCATGGTAATCATCCTGTGGGCTCAGGTGGGGGCTTGGTGGCCGGGATTGAGATGTGGTAGTTGCTGAGACCTGTCCTGAGACTGAGCTGGGTTTCAGGCAGGCTTTGCAGTCCCACAAGATGGAGATAGGCTTATTTTCACCGTCACGAATTTTGCACGAGTTGTTCAAAATGCCTCTAAGGTTCATAACATAATACAGGTTGGGTGAAAGTGGGTTTGTGGCAAGTCTCCAAATAACATAAGAGCAAGGCATCACAATTAATAGTATTTAATATATCTTTATGACAACAAAACACGTAGTGAGTAACAAGCTTCTCTGTGAAAGCCTCATAGCTAAGTTAATGGTCTGGAGAGTGGAAGGCCTTGTTTTAAAATGCAAACTAAAAAAAAGTGTGTGTTTTAATTCGTCTTCTGAGGAGCAGAATGGCATTAGAACAGGAGCCTCTCTTAAAGCAATTCCTTTTGCATGGAGCGGAGGCTGGTGCTGGGCCAACCTCTGCAGCAGGGCAGGATCAGGTGCTGTGGCATTCATTACAAAGTTCCCAGTGCAAATTGCAAGGAAAATTAGGTAGGCAGTACCCTTATTTTCCTCCTGCTTTTGTCCCAGGGAGATTTTCTTGCTAAATGACAGTGATAAGGACAATCTGGCTTTTSTATGATTATAAGAGACGGAAGAGGTAGTAGAAGCATTCCTGATTATATCGGACAGCTGCAGATGGCAATGGGTCATTTCACTCCATTATGGTTTCTGGCAGGTGAGTATTAGAGGGTGTGTGGTGGCATCGTTTCCCAGCAGTGACTTCATTGGGCTGTCTAAACAAACAGCTATTCCTCACCAGGTGCAAAAGGCCTTCTATTTGTGTTTTCCCTCTGTGAAGGGAAAAGAAATACCTACAGTGAAAACAGCACTAACAGATTGTGTCTGATCGACAGCTGTGGTGGTCTCTGCCTCGCTGCCAAATGATCAGGACATGAGTAGCGGAGGTGAAAACTTGCTTTCCTGTGCCCAGTCCATGGTTTTGTGGTCACCCACCAAATGGGTTTGAAAGTACGGACCCTCAAAACCCAAGTTCTGCTCATGCTGGGGAGCTCTACGTTGTCTGTATCCAACATGAGCTACTGCTGAGTAGCACCCACAGTGGTTGAGGAAGATCTGAGCTCAGCATGGGGAGGAAGAGTTGTCTTGGAGCTGCTCTACCCCCTGAGGTATGTGTTAGAGACTTGGTGCACTGGCCTGCAGATGGCAAGTCTGGGTCTGACTACCCTGCAAGTGAGAGAAGGGATCATGTGGACAGTGCCTGAGTCTGATCTTGGATGGCTGAAGGAACAAACCTGGTTGGTAGTGTAATTAGGGTGTCCACTTTGAGCTGTGCCCCTACACCCATCCTTCCTCAGTGTAGCTACTCACAACTGAACCATGCTGTGTATCAGTCCTATGTGAACCTACTTTTCCTGAGGTCAGGAAATAGAAAACTCAGAAGTGCCAGAGAATCTGCTGTGACTGCAAGAGGTCATCCTCAAGAGACCACATCTTTGTGAAGAGCATCTTGGTTTTGGCTCTGTCTGAACCAAACCAGAACACTGCTCCTTTATAGATATGGGCAGATAGTGCAAATATTACAGACTCCTAAACAGGCCACACATCASATGAAAACAGTGAGAAGCAAACCAAAAAGAACCCTTGAGCACCACTRCAGGAAGGTGCATCCTAAAATAAATAAATAGAACTACAGTAGGTTTTATTTTTTAATTTTACCTTAAAGTCACATTTTGTCTTGGTGCCCTCTTTGGAAGGCTGGAAACTCAAAGCTGGTGGTCACAGTGRAATATAAGGATAAACAGTCAAGACTCTTACTCTCAACAAACATATATTCCCGAGCACTAAACTAGTGTTATCTCTAGGAGCAGCCTAAAGAGCATGAGATGACTTTTGAGTCCTCTGTTTGTTTTTCTTCCTCTTCTTCCTTCTAGTGTAGCAGGAGAAATAAATCCTGTACCAGCCCAGCTGCCAATAGAATGGGACCTCCCCCTGAAGCAAAGTGATGATTCCGGTCATTCTGTAAGTTAGTTCAACTATTATTTTTCTGTACTTCTAACTGCATCGTCTGTCACAGAAGAAAGCAAAAGGAAAGAGAAAATGGATCAGTAAATAGTTGAGCTTGTCCAGATAAACTGGAAGAGAAAGTGAGAAATGGAAAATCACAGATGGAAATCTGTGAGAAATGGAAAATCACAGCTCTGCGGAGCTGAGTGAAATGGGGAATCAAGGGGACCAACCTGCCTTCTCCCCACAGGCTACCGTGCCTCTGATACCACTTGAATATGTGATGCTTGCAAAGGATGTTGTAGTTTGTAGCCAGGAAGCTGATGAAAGGACAGAAAACAAAAACAAACAAACAAAAAAAAGGCAAACAAAAAACAGCTTAGTAGGTTTATTATGGTCCCAAGTTTAATTCTGGTAAGTTGGTAGGGCTCTTCCTCTGCCCAGCTGCTTGGCCTGCAGGCAAAAAAATCCATCCCCAGTGGGTTTCTGTGAGGATTCAAGACAGCATGTGGAGATATTGGCTGCCTAAAAGGCTGCTTTTTCTTAGGAAGTCCTGCAGGCACTACAGAAGCTTGTGTAGATTACTTTACYTAAAGTGGTAATACTACATGTGAAAGGGCTTGGATGAAAGGCTTGAAAATCCAGACTGTAAAGAATAGATGGTTAAAGCCATAAATACTTCTAAACTAATGAAATTGCTGGGTGGGGAAGAACGGGAGAATAGATTCTTTTAAAACAGATGAGGGAAATGTGCCTCCTGACAATTTCTGCTTGTAAAACTAAGTTTGGGTTTCTAGGTAACGAGGGGAGCTTTCCCAGGGCGGAGAAGTCCTAAGGACTTGCTAGACTTGAATAACTGAAAGGAAGTGCAGGTTGTCAACCCTGTCTTACTTGGAGTGTGGCTTACACATCTTCCTAAGCCCACTTGAATGTGAAGCAAGCCTGGAAGCATGGTGGTCTCTTACACCTGCAGACCCTGTCAGGATTCATGGAGCACAAGAAGGCCAAGAGGGACTGTTATTAGATCATCTGTTCGGAGGTTGTGGTTAGCTCCACTTAACRTCACTGTTTTGTCATCTGTGTCCGAGTATCCTCCTGGACTCCGAGGTCTGTTTTTCTCTTGTCTCAGAGTCTGTCTCCATTTGATAGCCCCAACAGGCTCTGCCAGAAGTTTCCCACGTGCTGCTGTGGTTGTGCTTGAGGGCTGGGCTGCTTTTGGCAGGCAGTTCCCCCCACGGTGTGACTGGGCTTGTCTCCTGACCATGCTTTTACCTTCCTCCTGGCTTGGCAGACCTTTGTTGCCTCTTACTGCTCAACTCTTGACATGACTCCTGAGCCTGCCTTGTGGCTTGGTACAATTGTAGGTTTGTTTCCTGTTATCAGCTCCGAAATTAATTTTAGTTTGACTCTAACCACTTAGGAAGGTTACCTGCCTCCTTGGTTAGATTACCTGATAGCGTGAAGCCCACAGGAACTGCTAATACCTGCACAGGGATTTAGCAGGAGCTGATTAGTGCTGTTCATGCACATTTGTTGTTGCATGTGCTGTATGTCACCCTACAACCACTGTTTTATCTTCATGTCTATTTTGTTCTACCACTAGACTCTCTGGGGACAGATACAAATTAAAAGCAAATTATGCAACCTTTACCATTCCTCGGCAGACACCCGYCTCATCCCAGCTACCCTGAATAAATATAACAGCCATCATACATCTGAGTACAGCCTATGGAAAAAGTGTGTGGTGCTTGAAGGACGAAACACTTGGACACCGAATCCATCATGCATCTGAGCAGGTTTTGAGTAGCGCTGTATCAAGCAACTGCCTTTTGCTTTGCAGTTGTGCTTGGAAGCACTGGCAATTTCAGTTGACAGCTATAGGATCAAAAAGCAGAAGCAATGGCATGAAATTCCCTTCAGAGCAAAGACAAATGACTTGCACTGCTGTTCACTCTACCAAGCGCATCAGGTAGTCTGGGATCCCCTCTCTGCTAGAGGGAGTGATCTCTTGCTGTCTGTGCTGCAGGTGCACAGACCTTTAAGGAGCACTAGCAGCCAGGAAAGGAAATTCGTACAATAGGGTTCGTACAACTTTTTCCCTTTAGTAGTAAGGACCTGGGTTCACAACACCCCTTTCCTTTGCACTGACATCAGCTATGTTATCCTCTTGSTGGAAACCAGAGTTGGCCGCTTATTTCTTACTGCTCTTCTGCCCGGAAAGGACCTMGTGTCTTTGGGCTGATTTACAACAGTTTCCTCCATCCATTCAGCCATCCCCCTCCTTCCCTGGAGTTCACAATCACCTGTGTCAATGCTGCTCTGTTCAGTATTGGCTTCCCAAACTTTTAAGTAACTGCAGACACTAAAATGGGAGCGCTCTGAGGCTCTGCTGCAGCCGGCTCCGTGCTGTTTCTCGTCCCAAAAGGTGCACTCTAATTGCAGTTTAGCCACGTAATGTGGACTGAAAAGCTTGGCTACACACTCCTGTTTCAGCAGATGGCTGAACACTGCGAGTGGCCAAGTCATTCTGAGTGAACATGGGGAGGGCTAATGGAAAATACAAGTGAGCTCAGGGTTTGGTGTGAGGGGCTGTAGCACGGGGCAGGGGCACTCAAACTGGGCTCCCTGCTCCTGGAGACCTCCTACACAGGCATGGTCTGCCTTGCCTGGGTACCTGCCAGGGCTTCCTCTTCCCTATTTATTTGCTTATGAAATACTGAGTGATCTTCATAGCATGTCTTGATTTCTGGGGACTGAATTTCTGTCTTTGTGTTTGTTCCTATGGCTGTATGCTAGAAGCAAAAGCGAATTTCTCAGCTGGAAAAAGCAGTCGTGTATTGTCTCTTTCATATAGCCAGAGAATGCTGACAGATGCAGTGGATGTGAAATGCCCTTTTTATCACCGATTTTACTGCTCTCACAGATGTCCAGAAAATACTGCAATAATTACCTGTGCAGCTTCGAGGTGCCCTCTTCCCTGAGCTCAGACACATCCACTGTGTTTCAGGTTGTGTGGGTCATTTCAAAGGCAAAATGAACCCAAAACTAAAGGCTTGAGGAATATTACTGCATTTCCCAAGAGCACTGAGCTTCTGAAATGCTATTTCCTTCAGTATTAGAAATTCTTAAAATTGAARCCAGGCAGATGATCAGTATTTTTTAATTGTATCATGAAAACTTCCTTTGGGAAAAGGCATCCTTATAATGTCACAGGTGCACGAATGAAGTGTTGAAAACCAGCTGAGGGGAAGGGCATATGGGGGAAGGTGTGTCTGTGGGTGTGCTGAAAGGAAATGTTATCTCAGAAGTGTTCATTAAACTCAATTTAAATGTCCTGACTCAAATCCTGTTTATTCCCCTGCAATCAGAACCAACTTCCCTCAAGCAAAGCCCGTGCCAGGTGATAAGGCAATAGCAGGCAACGGAGTTGCAGCAAGGTTAAGCAGAGGAGAGCAAACTCAAACCAGCACACTGAAATCTTTATTGTTTTGGAGCATGCAGCAGTTTTGACCTCATAAAAATGTATTTGAGAGGATTTCTTTGTCGATATTGAAYGTAAACCTCCCTGTTGATTCAGGGTCCTGCCTGGCTTTGACTATCAGCTCATCAGTCTCATGTCTGCTATTTCGGGGATCTACCAGCACTGCTTTGACACGTTTTTGAAGCAGTTTACAGGTAGCCATTCAATGATGCTTCAAAATATTTATTCACTAAGCTGGCAGTAAAGTAGCTTCCAGAGCTGTACGCTATTTCAGCTTTGCCAGCTAGAAATCAGCTTTCCCTTTGCCAGCTAGAAATTACACTATTTTCCAATTTCATCATTACATGTATTTTATTATAGCATCATTACAGTGAGAAAACTGGAGAGGAAGAAGGGATTGTATAATGCCGGAAATAGYGAATTAATATCCCTATCAGATGATGGACTGGTGCAGAGCTGTGACACTGTCAGGAAAATTTAAAGCACGTAACACATAGATGAGGATAAAACTTTTCTACTAGTTCTGCAGATTAGTAATTTGCAAAAATAAAAAAAATCCTGTCAATTTATCAGGAATGAAAAAGCAGCATTTTTGTATTGTATACACATAYGTGTGCTTTTGTATGAAGACATCACATGACTAGGGAATATGAAGGGGGAAAAATGTTTTATGAAATATAGATGGGGTTTAGAGCATTGGAAAAGCAAGCGGTGTATTATCTGAGAAATTTTATCCTGAAAAGATGGACAGAACTAAACAATGTAATAACCCTCTTCTTTATCCTACTCTTCAAAAAGCCTCCCTTTCAGACCCACCAGTCTTGCACTGCAGTACAYGAATCAGAAAAATAACCAGTTATTTTCTGTGTACCCTGAAATTTGAGGGAGCATGGAAATGGCTCACAGTTTTTGCAGATGCTTAGACAAAAGCTTTTGTAATATGGATCCRTTAAATCCAATTGGTTTGTAGTAACACCAGAAAGTAAATAAATACCCACATGCATCATCTTTATTTTGACTCTGTCTTTTGAAATGTTAAGTGATTAGTTAGGTTAAACAAGCACAAACTGTGTCTGTTATTCACTTGTCAGATCTCAATAAATGTGCTTTTAATAACAGCTTGTTATCCAGTTCACTGAGTTGCAAATAGATGCAGGTTTTAGAAGTCACTTATTTATATATCTTCTGATCACTTCAGATGTCTGACAGCACTGCAATAGAGATGCCTCTTAGCTGAGTAAATGTCTTCAAAAGCTACAGGAGAACTGATAGCAATGGGAAAACAGAAATCTGTTGGTGAACAGGAAGCATCAATGGGCAAGGAACTATAATTTTAATGAATAGAATCCAAATTACATATTTCTAGAGCTTCTTGATGTTTATAGCTCTTTACAGATGGTTGAGAGCAAAAGATCTCTATCTTCCTGAGAGGATATCATCTCCCAGCAGGAAAGACATTGGCTTCATGGGCAGAGAACAGTTGGAAAAGTTGGGAAAGGAGGCAAAGAAACTCTTTGCACCCACCTGATACTGCAAGGACAGTTGGAGGGAAGCAGAACAGTGTGACTTGACCTGGCACAAGGCTACAAGAAAYGCAATGGTGGTTCAGCATATTCCCAGTGGCGGCTGGAAGGACCCGTGCTGCAGAATAGGGTGGCCTCAGCAGYACCTTAAGAGTCACAAAGCAAAATTATGGGTTATATAAAAATGGTTAAATACTAGATGATTGGTGGAAAACATGTATTTATCGAGGTGTAAAACTCAATTGCATGACTTAAAAAACTATGTATTAAATAAGTAGATCAGCTGGTATTTATTTAATATAATTGCAGCCTATTAAACCTGAATTAAGTACAGAGTTAAGTGTCTCTGGGACAGACAGCTGAAAATTCTGCCAGAACCATTTTGTATTGCCTGCAACCTTCTGTGGACGTCTCCCACACTCAGTTGCTGCAAAACTGTCCTTCATTTGACTAGGGAAACGCAATAAGAGATTTTTAATTTTGACCTTAACTGCAGCAGAATTATTTAATGACTTCTATAATTTAATGCAGAAAAGTTTTGCAGGGGATTTCCAAAAACCTCTCATATTCCCCTCTCATTTTCTTTCTCCCAGCTTACAGACATTTGTGACATGGATGACGGGCATGGACTTATAGGTAAGCTTGCCTGGTTGTCCATGAGATGAGTTGGACTTRATGTGTGTTCTCATGTGCTCCGCATGGTATAAGTGTCAAATGCTTCGGGGCCAGTACATGCTGATACCTAGCACAAAACTCAGGTTGGATAGGATTGCTGCTGTTTAGTGGAATTGCTCTTGGTTTGGGAAAAGTCACTTCTATTTTTGCTTACTTTAATCCTATTATTTMTCCTTTTCAATGACAAATGAAACCGAGTTAGGACTTCTTTTCTTTCAAAATATTCAGTGCCACATAAACTGCATATACGCTGAATTATAAACTCATTTTCATAACAACTTGTGGAAAAGCCACTTGAGGTCAGGGCAGGCCTCACCTGGCAACCTGGAGTGCCAGAGCTGTGTTTATTCTACACCGAAATTATTTAGGTTTCTCTTATGGGCTTTTTGCCTGCCTTTTCCACACTTTTGTGGGCAGATAGAGAATTTCACAATTCCCACGGTGTGGGTGTGCAGTGGAAAACTGATTGCAGTCTCATCTCGTTGAGATGATTCCTGTGATAGTGACAAACACGAGTGCAAAGGAGCGCGGTGAACACGGCCAGCACGGGAGGCAGCTCCTGGAGGATTCCTGTGCTGGAGCAGGAATAAACTCGGATTGCCCTAACCAGGCACCCTGAGATTCCTGTGGAACCTGAATGCCTCTGCAATGAATGCTGCTGCAATGCCCGTTCCCCTCCCTCCAGCTAATTAGCCCGCATTTAACACCCGGACAAAAYGCGGCTGCACCTGCGCCGCCTTGGGAAGCACAATGCGGAGCACAACAAAGCRGCGTGGCAGGGACCCCGCGCCCTCAAAGCGCTGCCAGCCCCGGCAAGCGCCACTTTGAAAGAGCACCAGAGAAAAGAGAAAACGGGAGGAGGAGATTCGCTCACTTGGACTTTTTCTCTACTGGAGAGAATGGGTGAAAGCCCACAAAAGCTGCCTCATAAAGAGGAGGAGGAGGAGAACAAGGCAGCAGGGGAAGTGTGGGGCAGGCTGAAAGGAGAAGGGCTTTCCAGGTTGTATTGGCCCCCCCAGACATCCTCAGTTAATGTCTCAAAGGCTAGTGATGACATGGGTTTGATGGGTTTTGCTGCAGCCGTTAAATGTAGGATTGCAGAAATGATGTAGCCGTCCTGGGCTGAGGACCCACCTGTTGGAAGGACAAAACGA